ATCCACCCGCCACGATAGCTGTGTGAACTAGCTGGGTGAAGGGAGCCAAAGGGCCACCTGAATTACCGGCTCCTTCTACAGTGTGAACTATGGGGGGGGGGGCGGGCTTCGCAACACCAGCGAGAATCCAAAGCTGGAGTCTGTGTCCGCTGGTTATAAGGTAAGAGGAATGAAGAGCACTTTCTAAGCCCTAGCGTGTGATGGGAAACGCCCTTGCAACGCAAGAAGATTTCCACATCAATGGATTTCCTGCACCTTGTTCTGAAACAGGGCAGCAGGGTACAACCCGGGAATGGGACTGACTCTGGAACATTTTTCATTGTCTCAAAGACACTGTGACAAGGCATTAGCAGCCAAGGGTGGGGGAGTTGGGGTCTGGTGTCCACTCAGCAATTAACATGCTGGGTGACCTTGAATGAGTCACCTAAATGAAGGAATGGATGAGTTAAAGCTTCTTCTGGTAAAAAAAAAAAAAAAAAACACCAACCCTGATTTTATGCTTATGCACATCTAATTAAGATTAAAAATGAACATGGTCATGAAAATGATTTTTCATTCTCAGTTTACCAGCTGGTCTCAATGCCTAAAATGCATGTTCTTTCTAAAAGGCCATGTTCAGAATCACCGCCTGGTTCTAGAATTCAAACAAATTAGGCTTCTAGTTCAGCCATCTGCACCCTTCCCTAAAAGTGCTCTTTAGACAAACCACACTATGCAACAGGATGAAAGCTGAAAGCAACGTCCAGGGCTCCTGCCAGAGAACAGCAAGACTGGAACCACACTTCTGGTTTGGGATCACTGACCCCCAAGGCCAACTGCCACCTCCCCAGTGCTCACCGCAGTACTTGAGTATCACCTACAGAACCCACCATGTTCTTCATGCAACACTGGGCAAAGTCTTGCTGAGTTAATGAAAGAGCTGCGGATGACACTGAACGTCAACATGAAGTCCTGGAAGGCACGCTGTGACAGTGGCTGCTGATTAGCAAACACGGAAAAGCTCCTTGGCTTTACTTTACCCAAGTACTCTTTTGCTTCTTTTCTGCTTATTCCAGCAGTGAGCTTGGAACATTCCTGTCCCCATGCTCCAACTGGACCCACCAAAGGATCCAAAGAGACCTGATGTTCCAGCTCATGGCTGGGGCTTGTTCTCTGCAAGCTCTGGCTTCAAATCCTGTTTTTCACTAGTAATCCAGTTTTCAGGTACTGGGCTCCTGCCCTGACCTTCCAAGAACTGTGGCCTTCTCCTCATACGCCCCAACCCTGAGGAACAGAGGGAGCTAGTAGAAGAGGTGGCCAAGACAGTTCTGTGCATGAGATTAGGAGTTCATACCCACTCCCCTCGAGGACTGTCTCTGTCCAGTACCTTCCCTGACCCAGTCTCTCCTGGCTCCCCATCCCTCCCAGCGACAGTGGAGGTAAAACCATTCTCCCTAGATCAAGGTACCTTTCACATTTGGGCTAGGTAATCCTTTGCCACAGGGGACTGTCCTGTGCACTGCAGAAGGGTATTCTGGCTTCTATCCGGTAGATACCTGTAGTACACTCCCCCACTCCTCCCCTAGTTGAGAGGACCAAGATGTCTCTCCATAGGGTCAAACGTCCTCGGGGACAAAATCATTCCCAGTTGGAAACCACTTTTTGGTTTTTTTTTTTGGAACTGGGGACTGAACCGGGGGCATTTAACCACTGAGGCACATCCCCAGCCTTTTTTTCATATATTATTTAGAGACAGGGTTTCACTGAGTTGCTTAGGGCAACTTTAGTTGCTAAGATGCTGAGGCTGGCTTTGAACTAGCGATCCTCCTACCTCAGCCTCCCAAGCTGCTGGGATTACAGGTGTGCACCACGATGCTGGCTCTGAAACTTTCTAATGGGACCAAAGCAGACGCTTTGTCCCAAGTTCAATTCTACAGGATGTAAATAAACGGAAGCAGATTATGCAGACCCATATTTACCCCCAGTCAGGGGCATGCAGACAGGCTGGAAAGCAGAACATACAGAGGCCACTTCAGACCTGGCCGATGAAAGCAGCTACAAGGAAACTCGAGTGTGTACTAAATGCTCTGCCTCCAGAAATCAAATGCTGTAGCATCTGTAATGGGCCGAACATTTACATGGAGCTTTCGCCTTCAAATCACCAAGCTTTCAGCCTCCACTAATATTCTCCAGGGGCAGGGCTGGCCCTCTTCCATCTTCAAGATGATTCAGGTTTCCTGGAGAACAGAATGAGCCTCTAATGCTTAATATTTTCTCTCTGACAGATGGTTTCAGATGTATCAAAGTGCTAATCCTTGCTGAGGTATAGGTCTCAAGGAAGGAGAGTTTGGCTTTTAGAATGATAGGACTTGAATGATTAAGGAGGAAAATTACTCCCAGGATATTCACCATTGTCATGTGAGCAACCAGCTTAAAATGAAGGAAACCAGTGCAATCTGAAAAACGATTTGAGGGGAAAAAAAGAGAAAAAAAAAAAACACTAAAAAACCAGGTTAGCAGCTTAGGTTTGAAATATTTCCACTCAAAAACATCTTTGGGAATGGAAATGAAGGGCAATAACAACACCTTTCAGCTCAGGATGAGGGGAGTTCCATCTGCCTCCCTGCTATATCACCATTCCCAGCCTGGGTGTACGGAAGAGGTTGTAACAGAAGCCTGGGTTAGAATATCTGCCTTGCCACTTACTGTGTGACCTTGGGCAAGTTATACAACCTCTCTGGGCCTCAGTTTCCCCATCTGTAAAATGGGTGATAACTTCTACCTCAAGGGAGGTTGTACAAATTAAATGATCCAACCTACACCTAATCTGACATAGCATATTAAACTTTGTGTTAACTATGAATGTGAATTAACATTAGGTTGACCTACTATGTGCAGACTGATTTCATATAGCTCATCACCTCTGAAGCTCCCAGAAGCTTACTACTGATGGTGCAGAGGCACTACAGAAGAGAAGGCTGAGGGTCTGAGAGGCCGAACCACTTGGTCGCAGTCACAAAGCTGCATGCTGCGGGGTTCGAACCTGGCTCTGCCCGACTCAGCCCAAGCTCTTTCCAAGACACCACGTGGAACCGACTGGTCGGGTGGGGGTGCAGGGGGCAGTGACTGGGGCCAGAGGTCACTCACGGTACTCCTCCAGCCTCATTAGGGGCCGGAAGTAGATGGGGTAGAAAGCGGCGCCGACCAGGGAGACGAAACCGCCGAAAATGAGCGCGGTGCGCAGGTTCCGGGACATGCTGCCCGGCGGGGTCTGCCCTGACCCGCGAGGGCACCCTCACCCTCGGAAGCCTCGCTCTGCCCGCCCAGGCCGCGACCCCGCTCGGAAGAGGCGGAGCGGCTTTCGCTTCCGGGCCTTGGGGCGGGGCGCGGGGTGGAGGCGGAGCTGGGGGGGCGGGGTCGGGGACGGGGTGGAGCCGGGGCGGGGCCTCGGGTGGGCGGGGACGGGGCGGGGCCTCGGGCCTGCCGCCGCCCTCCCTTCTTTGCCCGACTGCCCCTGGCGCGGGCCGAGCGCGAGGGCTGGGTTGCTGCCAGGGCTCTTGTCGAGCTTTATTCCCCCGCGGAATCTCACCGGCCCTCTTCCCTGCCGGGGGCCGGGCTCCGCTTTCCACCGCTCCACTCACCACCTGCAAACCTCACTCCCTCCACTACCAACCACGCCCTCTTGTCCTTCCCCACTTGTCTGTCATTTAGTGGACGTCTACCACGAGCTGGACCATCTCTACAGCTCTCTGGTTTAATCCTCAAGTCAGCAGGCTCAGTTTACCGGTGAGGGGACCATGGCTGCATGCACAGCTTCAGACAAGTCCCTGGGCTTCCCTGGGGGTCCCCTGCTCTCCCTGTTCCCTGTACTGAGATATCAGGATTCCTGAGGACGATAGGAGATAAATGGGGATCTGAAAAGGGCAGAGAGCCAGCAGCCAGTCCTAAGGATGAGACCATGGGGCTCTGGCTCATTGCCTTAGGTGGGGTCCACTGAGGACAGACTTCTGCTTCCTCTTCTGTGATTGCCATCCTCTGCACCTGTGCCCCTTTCAGATGGGCTGTATCTGAACACGACCTGCCCAAGGGGCCTTCGCCCAATCCTTTGTAGATAGACATGATGCCAGCAGCTGGGGCTGGAAAGCACAGGGGATATTTATCTTGACCCCATTATTTAGTCCAGAAAAGTGAACTGATTCGAGGATTAGACCAGCGAGCTGAGAGATCGTCCAGCTCATGGTAGACTTCACCATCTTTCCGAAATGGTGTGGAGATCTATAGTTTCTTCTTTCTTTAAAGTTTGGTAGTTGAATCAAGCTACCATTTACCATTGTAGCTCTGGAAGCCTATAAATCAGCTGTTTGATCTGTTGGCAGATTTATGGACTATTTGCTATGCCCCAAACACCAGGCAAAGTGCCATGGGGGACACAAGATGAATAAGATGTGACCCCTGCTTTCCAGGATGCTGCCACAGAACATATACATGAAAAGATAAATAATGATCAACACAGCCCATTGCCGATGAGTGATACAGGCCTGCGGGCTACGGAGTGCAGACGGGGAAGACAGATGATTGTGTAGTGAGGTGGCTGCTCCTCAGGCACCTGCGCGAGCTTGTTGGATGCGGAGAAAAGACTTCCAAGCAAAGAGGAAAGCTGTGACACATGCTTTACATCACATGACAGAAAACACCCAGGTGTAAGGGGCATTTGTCATTTTAGCACCCAGGATCCACCTCCCGTTTTCCCAATAATAGTGCCCCAATATCTTTTGGGAAACCACTCCCCTCACACTCCTGGTCTGCTCCTCCCACCCCCCACTGCCACCATCCTACTTCTTCCCGGGTCTGAAAGTTAAGCAAGTGCATTGCCAAGCCCAACCACTCTTCCTTGCCTGTGTGTAGGGAACAGACAGATGAGGATGGTGGGAACATTAGGTTAAGAGAATAATTTCATAAAATGGGCCCACTGTGCTGACCTCCACATGCTTTCTTTTTCAAGAAGCAATTTACCTGCAGCCCTGCCTGGACTCAGTGGGCAGGAGATGTCACATTCCTCAGCAAATTACTTGTTATCTACAGGAGAAATGCAGGCGCAAAGTAAGGTTGATAAGAGGAATCCAAGTTACCCTGAAGGAGACTTTTGTGACCAGATCCTGAAACTCTGGGAGAGAAGGATAGTAGTTTCTCCTAACCACAAACATCTTTAAGAATGTATGGTTAAGAATCCAATTAGAACGATTCAGCATGGGACCAGGTGACCAAGAGTTGCTACAACAGTGGGGACTTGAAAGTCTGATGGCACACCGCTGTCAGTCAAAAGTCAGGAGGTGAACCTGTGCAGGACTCTCTGGAAACTTCTCTGGGATCCCCAATGAAACTGGAGCACAGGAGAGGCACATTGACCCTCCTCTCTGAGAGGACCCACTCTTTCCCTTGAGTGTCCCCTTTCCCATTTCCTGATCCCTTCAATAAACTCCTTCCTATTATTCTGAGTGACATGTCTGAAATCTTTCTGACTTGATCCCAAGAATCAGAGTTTGAAGAGAGTTTTTGCTCTGCCTCAGTTTCTTAGGAGACCCCCAACTCCATAATACATGGATTGTTTGGCACAGGATGGAGGCCAATGCAGTTCATCTTCCTGGTCATACGACTCACATTAGCCAACCATACTCTATCCCAACTCTACTAGACAGCTGAACTTGACTTGAGGGCATGAGTCACAGTAGCTACAAGGGAATGAGGGCACAATTTAGGGACTAAGAATGAAATCGATACAACAGGAGAGCTGAGAGATGGACAGAAACCAGATGCTCATTTTGCACTTGAGCCAGCTATACCTGAAACAGGCCACCCCTAGGCTGCTCAGATGAGCTGTCACATCCCCCTTTTATAGAAGCCAGTTGAAGTTGGGCTGTCTCTTTCCAACAGAAGATGAAATATCCATGGATGTGGTTCCACTTGATTCACACTTCCATGAGAATTCGAGGCAAAGGTTGCTCTATTGTCTAGACTGAGTCACTGAGAGCTGGAGAATGGAGCTCTTCCAGGGTTCAGAGATCAAGGATTCCTGATACCTCTGTGAGCAAGCTTGGCAGAGTAACCAACCAAGTGCCTCCCACCAACCAGTCAGAATGGAAGAGACCAGGATAGAGACCAGAGGCTGAGACAGGACATTGTGGTAGATGAGCCACCCCCTCTCAAGGTAATGTGGCAAGTGACTAGTGGCTTCTCTGTCTCCATCATAATGACCTGAAAGCATTAACTGTCCAGCAGAAATGAGTACCCCCTCTGTCATTAGAATCTTTCATTAGCCTTATCACACCAGAACACCGTTACTTACCACTTGCCTGCCACCAGATCCCCAAACGCAGCTTCCCTTCTTTGATCCCAATGTGCACAGGTTTATTTAGAATATCACACTCCCCTGGTTTTCCATCACCTCCATCCTATCAATTCCATCAGCAAGTAGTTCTTGTGTGCCTTCTCGGGGCAGAGCCCTGGAGTAGTTGATCTCTCACAAAGACAGCTCAGGAACATTCTCGAATTCTACAGTGGCTCCCTGAGCCCTATCCAGCGTGCCAGAGGCTCAGGTGTTGGGGGAGGCAGCAAAGAAAGCAGCAGTGTCTGCTGTCCACGTGGCATCCCAGCCTGGTGGAGGGAGAAGATGTGCCAGCCTAGTGACTGCTGCTTGGCCCTCTGCCTCACTGGGTAGCAGTTCCTGGTGTATTTTGGAGAATGACTCTTCAGGCCGGCCTTCCTAGTTGGCCAGCAAATCCGGCACTGAGGGCACTGCTCTTGCAGTAGAGTACTAGTGTCAGGACTTGCAGGACCCCTGCCCTGTACAGTCACTAGGATAATTGACTCCTTCAGAGCAGGAGGCTGGGGCATGTCAAAAGTGGCTTGCACAAGGTCACATGGCTTGTAAGTGGCAGAGTGAGGGTTCAAACCTGGTTGCAGAGACCAGTTCTTGACCACTTATCTAAACTACCTTGCACAGTCAGTGAGCCTGTGTTGTGGGGTATGGGCATGGCCCAACCAAGTACTATTCATCTCTTTCTCCCAGAATTCAGACGACAGTGACACAAAAATAGGTGGCATTGTTACAGCGAATTAATCCCATTGCTAATGTTCTGATGAGCTTGTTGCCCTCTCCTGCCTGCCTAGGCCCTTGGAACCTCTTTTGCAGGGTGATTCTCCAGTGATGATGATGCTCTGCAGGACTCGCATGTGTTTCCAGTAAACTTTGTTTGAACTTAAGATGGTCAGAGCCAGTTTCTGTTTACGCCGCCAGGAGCCCTAACAGAGACAGAAATCAACACGATTACTTAGGACATATGGCACAGATGCTGGCTCGGGGCTTCTGAGCTGTGCTAATGTTTGGTAAAGCCAAAGGAAGTTTGGGTCTGGGGGAGGTACTTCTGTGTAGGGGGAGAGTTGGAGAGAAGATGTAAGTCAAATATGTCAGGCCCCCTAGGGTGCATATTTTCATCTCAATCACTGAAAAAAAAATTGGTTTGGGCTCCTACCCAGCACTTTCTCCTTCTTCCCTTGGATGTGAAGATTGAATGCTTGCAGGGAGCAGACCGCCGGTGGTGTCTTGCAAGGGGTGCAGACAGACATCAAAGTTAATCCGCTCTCTGATCTAAGCAAAATGGTGACGAGGGTTTCCTGGGACAGCAGCTACACTAATTGTGGCACTGCAGCCCTGCAGATATATTTTTAGAATATTGTGGATTCCCAAGAAGAATCCTTCCTGGCTGTGGGAAAACAGCCTGGACGCTTCAGATACGGAACAGCAAGGTCTCATGCAAGACCCTCCAGGCCAGAGAATAAGAAATAGGGAAACCGCTTACCTGTTTTTATGGGGTGCTGTGGCTCCCTGAGTCTCTATTTATCTGTGAAAATATTTCCAGTTTAGACCATTTGTCTAGTTATTCTTCTTTTGCCTGCCTTTTCCATGTAAGAGATATCCCCAGGTGTCTGTCTTCACTAACCTCCTACCATGCTATGCACCCCCTAGCTTTAACTTGTGCCTTTAGGAGTCCAGAGAATTCAGACTCAGTTTTCTGCTGAATTCACATGCCGAGTGACAGCTTCAGGTTCAAGACCACTTCCTCCCGCTCCTTCTTCCCCATCAGGTTTGATCCCAGCATGGTTGGTGGCCTTATCTGCTCTCCCTGGTCATGACTTCCTTTCTTGTACACACCATCTTCTTCTATCACTAAATTATTCATTGGGTAGCTGTGTTAGTCTGTATTCTGCTGTTCTAACAAAATACCCGAGACTGAGGACTTGATAAAGAAAATAGATTCATTTACCTCATAGTTTGGAGACTAAAAATTCAGTTTAGGCTCCAGTGAGCGTCACAATGGTGAGAGGACCTGTTAAAAGTGACCACATAGTGAAACAAGAAGCCAGAAAGTGGAGAGAGGCAAGTCTCACTCTTTTACAACTATTACTAAACTCACTTCTCAAGAGTTATCAGTTCTTCCAAGGGCAATGTCTCCAATGACCATTCACCTCTTCAAACTTTCACTACCACCTAACATCACCACAATGAGGACCACGCTTCTATTTGACTCTTCGAGAAACATAGTTAAACCATATCTAAACCACAGCAGTAGCTAAAGTCATCTTTTGAAAACACAGACCTGTTCCATGACTGCCCTGCTCAGAAGACTTAAGCATCTCTCCAGGGTAGGATTCCCTCGGCATGGCTGCCAGGCTGCAGCCCACAGGTCATGAAGACTCCTGCTCCTCCATGCACCTCTGCTGAGTGCAATAGTACTTCTCCACAGCTAGGCGGCCATCTCTGGGCCTGGGCCACTGCTGACTGAGTAGGCATGGGCATCTGACCCACAACACTGTCCAAGGGCCTAACCTCGGGCTCCATGGAGAGTGGCCCATGCACTCGGAGTCTCCATCTTGGAATTTCACCTGGAAAGCCAGGGAGGAGGAGGAGGAGGAGGAGGCCGCAGGAGCAGAAGTTGGACAGATGCAGGGAGAGGAGGAGCAGTGTGCAGGGGCTGTGAGAGAGCCGGGTTATGAGTCAGCAGGAGCTGGGAGGGAAGAGCTCTCGTTGAGTTGATGGCGCGGGATTGTCTGGAAATAGCAGGAAGCAGAGAACGATGGAGGAGAATTAAAATGAAGATCCACAAATTCCTCCTGCCGGAGAGTAACGGGATACCTTAAGCCCTCAGCTGCCTGTGATTCATGTATTCATTCATGGTTTTCTACCATTTGTGTCGGGCACTGCTCCATGCCAAGAACTGATCCAGGCACTAGACAAAGGCGTCACCATCGCGGAGTACACAGTCCAGCTGGGGAGGCAACGGTAGAGATTTCAAAGGTCAATAATAGGGAGTCCTAATTTCTGGGAAGAAAGTGGAGCAGGCCAGGGGGCTGGGGGGCGGCCAGCCTTTAGGAGATGTCAGAGTACCCGATGGAGAAGAGCTAATCCGCTCTCTGAGCTAAGCAAAATGGTGACGTGGATGTTTAGGACCCAGATGGAGAGACCTATGAGGGCAAGAACAGCGTGGAGTCAGGAATGTGCTTGCTCTTCAGAGATGACCAAGGAGTCATGGTGACCGCAGGGGAGTGAGCAAAGGGGACACCGAAGGACAGTAGGTCCGGGCAGGAAACCCATTGCCAAGGGCCTCACGAACCACGTGAAGGTCTTGGGATTTCCTGGTGCCTGAGATGGGAGCCACCAGGGGACCACAGCAACCTTCTGGTTCTGGCGTCTTTGGGACAGGTCCAGATGCTTTGTGGGTTGTGTTCTTTCCACAGCTCGCTGCTTCCCTAACCCATCATGTCCCGTTGTTTCCCATAAGACCCCTTCACCCAGAAGAGCAAGAATAGGTTTTGCTTACTGATAGCAAAAGAGAAGGTCCTGAGAGCCACACGGTTTGGCCTGACCACCTCCCAGCTTTCCTTCCTTCCTCTCAGCGAACATGGTCCACCCCGGCAGCTCATGTCTGTTTGAGGCCAGCCTCTGGGTTTCCAGGCTCACTCTTCTTTCTGGAATAACTTCCTCCCAAGAGCCTTCCAAGAGTCACCTTCCTATCCAAGGACGCTCTCAAATCCCACTTCCCTAGGAGCCATCCCATTATTACCTGATGTGATATCAACTCTTCTTTCCTAAACTCCTATTTGGATCATCCACGGCTGCATAACTAACTGCCCCAAACTAACTGCTTAAAAAGAACAACAATTCTGCTGGGCACTGTGGTGCCCGCCTGTAATCCCAGCCACTCGGGAGGCCGAGGCAGGAGGAGCACAAACAATTCAGCAAGACCCTGTCTCATAAAATTAAAAATAAAAAAGGGCTGGGGATGTGGCTCAGTGGTAAAGTGCTCCTAGGTTAAATCTCTGGTGCAAAACAAACAAACAAACAAACAAACAAAGTGACAATAATGTATTGTCTCTTACAGTTCTGTTGACTGGCTGGACATTCTTCCAAAACACAAAGTGTGGCTGGGTGCTGGGACAGCTGAAGTCATCTGGGGGCTCGGCTGGCTGGACTGGCCAACTGAGCTCACTCCTGCAACTGATGGTTGACGCTCACTTGAGGTGTCACCTGTATCACACATAGGTGACATGTCTCAGGAAGGCAGCTTGCTTCTAAGAGGGGGCACCTCAGAGAATCAGGAGCCTGATGGCTTAGCCCTGGGGGTCATCCACAGTCACCACCACTGCATGCTGTAGGGACCAGACCAGTTTCAAGGGGAGGGGAAGGAGACACCCCCTCTCAAGGGGAGCAGGGACAGGGAACCTGGCCTCTGTCCTCACTCTATTATGGCTCATGGTGCCTTTTCCATTATTCCAGTTACGGTGACTGTGACTGTTCGCCTTGTATAGCAGTTATTTAGTGTCTGTCTCACAAGGTTTTAAGCCCCAGATGAGACACCGTATTTTATTTAATCCAACGCTTCCAATGTAATAACCACACAAACAGCAGACAGTAATGAAGTCTCTCCGCCCTGCACGGTGACCTCAACTAATATCACACACGATCGCTTCCAATCTCCACCCTGAAGGACAGACGTGAGCACTGTTTTACAGATGGGGAAACAGAACCGAGGAGTCAGCCTCGCCCAGATCCACAAAGTTCATAAGTAAGTGGCAGAGTCAGCATTTGAACCCTGGGTTCTTATTCTCGCTCTTCTGCTTTCTCACATTGTGGTACTGTCCCCGTCAGTTGGGCTGCAACACCAAATCTCCAAAATTGGCTGCCTTTAAATAACAGAGGTTTATTTCTCACCATTCTGGAGGCTGGAAGTCTAAGGTCAAGGTGCTGCTAGATCCCACGCTGGGTAAAGGGTTTGCAGATGGCCACTGTCTCTTTGTAGTTTCATCAGGCAGAGATGGAGAGAGAGAGAGTAAAAGAGCCCTTTCCTGTTTTCTTTTTTAAGGGCACTAATCCAGGTCTGAGAGCTCCACCCACATCCCTGATTACCTCTTAAAAGGCCACCTCCCAGTTGAATCATATGGGGGGGGGTGGCTAAGACTTCTGAAAACTGGGGAAAAGGGGGCACACACAAACATTCACGCCATAGCAGGCACCAAGGCTGTGTGCACAAGTCAGCCTACATGGATTTACTGAAGTGTCACTGGGCGGAAGAACAAAGACCACAATAGGGAGAGCGAGAGAGGGAGCTGGAGTTATCAGCCCTTGCTCCAGGCGCCTGCGGTCCAGGCCCTGTCCAGAGTTTCAGTGCTGAACATCCCGAGGCAGTCCGCTAATCTGTGCCGCCTTTGGGAGCTCCACAAGGAATGGGAGTATTTATTGGATCTCAGCGCCTGATGCAAAACTTTCCTCCAAACTTCCAATTTTCTCTCTGCCAAGATAAGTGATGGAGGCTTATGGTTCACGTAGCACATCTACCGGGGCCAGGGCCTAACCACTCTGTATTTCTGGCCTCCTTCCTCCCAGCTAGAAGTGAATCTAGATTTAGTTGCCATTAGGAACAAGCGCCATCTCCCCACTTGGTGAGGTGGTAGTTTTAGAAGATTCTGTTTTTAGCGTGAGAGTATCAATCTGCGCACACAAGGCCACGCTCTGTGAAGAAGGCAATACTAAGATAAGTGGAAACTTCATGTCCAAGGAGATAGCAAATAAAATCTCAACATGTTTTACATTAAACAGCCTCTTCTTCTCCTGTCCTTTTATGAATATACGGGCATCGTTGGGCACAAAGTGGGAAAAATAACTTCAGCTCTGCAATGTAAATTGGAACAGTCGTGAAAAAACTGGAGGCATGGGTTTTGTTATTTTGGTTTTTTTGTTGTTTTCCCTCTCCCCTGTGGCTTCCGTACTCAAGGATCACGCCCCACCCCTACCCACACCATCCCTGAAGGACACCATTTGTGAATAGTGGCCCTGTGCTTGGACATTACAAAACAAGTGCGTCCTTCGTATTTAAATGGCAGTTACACAGCTTCTATGCATCTTTGGGGTTAGGAAAATGTTTACCTGCTCAGTCTGTCCAGCCGACATTCTTAAGACTTTATAGCCAGTTCTCTGAGCCCACTCCATAGCCCCTGGGAGGCTAACATGGTATGCGAACGTATTAAAAATACTGCCTCGAGACCCCGGAAAGTCTGTAATGATGGAATTTTGCCAAGAACTAGAGGAAATCCATTCTGAAAATACCAACTACTGTGTATTTTCAGATCAATCAAAAATGGCACCAGGGTTACCTCAGGTGCAATATCATCACATGGACTGTGGGTCCTCCTGAAATACTTTTGTGCCTTCTTTCTCTGCCACCCACACCCATGGCCGTTCTCCCTGTTGCAGCCAGGGTACCCTTTAAGAAATGGAAATCAGATATAGGGCCCTTGGCTCGAAGGCTTCTGGATCACTCTGAATCGTGTTCCGACATCTTGCTCTGCCCTAGAAGGTTCTAGGAGATGTGCCCTGCCTCCCTCTCCATCTCCATCTGCTCCCCACCTCACAGGTTTCCTGCTGTTCCTGGAACCTTGAAGTCTGCCCTGGCCTCTGGGCCTTTGCCCTGCGGTTTCCTCTCCAGGGAGTGCTCTGGCCCTTGGCCTGGTTTCACCTGTTATGCCAGCACCTGTTCAGTTGGGGTTCAAGTCCCCACCAAAGCCCAAAACAATCCCCACCGTGAAGCAGTCAGTGGGCGGGGCCTCTGGAAGGTCGTGAAGATTAAAGGAGGACATAAGGGTGGCCCCCTGATCCAGGGGGAAGGTGGCTTTACCAGAAGAGGAGGAGGAGAGACCTGAGCAGAGGTGTTCGGCTTTGCCCTGCGATGCCCTGCGCTGCCTGGGAACTCTGGAGAGGGTCCCTAACAAGGAGAGGGCCTCGCCAGGTGCAGCCTCCCAATCCTGAACTTCCTAGTCTTCACGAGCAGGAGCCCAGCAAATCTTTACTCTTTATGGATCGCTCAGTTTGTGCTATTCCGTTACAGCAGCAGAAGACAGGGGCGTCTGAGGGCCCGCCCTGGCCGCAGGTCTAAAGGAGTCCTCTCCTCCCTTCGCTTTCTAACCCTCCTCTGTCTTCTTATTCCAATACCCTTCAACGACCTTTATAACTGTCCACTGCTGTCCCTCACTGTAGTAGGTAAGCTCAATGAGTCTCCCTCCCTCCTGGGTCCCCAGCACCTTGAAGAGTACCTGGCACATAGTAGGTGCTCAACAAATGTTTGTTGAATCACTGCAGATACTCACTTCTCAAGTTGTCCAAACAAACGAGAGAGGGTGGAAGGAAGGGAAAGTCCTGCTCCTCGTTAATTATATAATTCTCTCCAAAGCCTGTGATTGCAGGAAGGTTAAAAACCCTCCTTAACCGCTTGTGGCAGCTACATGCTCTCAGGCCTAATCACAGCCCCTGCGATCCTCACGCTGCTCGCTGAGGCCTGGTCTTCCCGTAGGACTAGCCCGGGAAGCAAGCATCTGCACTCTGTTACCCTTGGCATCTTTGGAGATTTTAATTAACAGTATTTTTTTTTTCTCATTCACTGTCAGGATTCTGATTAACTTGTAAGTGGGAGTTCTGTCACTTCCAGGAGGTGGGGGAAGGGTGCCGCGGGCTGCTGGGATGCCGGGGCTGCCTGGGGGGCCTGCCCCACATCCTTCCCTCCCCACAGGGGAAGGCAAGGCACGAGCCCGGTCACGATTACAGGCTGCAGTGGAAGATGGACTTGTTGGGACTTCCCTGCTTACCAGACATTTCTTTTGGCCTGCAAGACCTCGGTGCACGTAGGGTCCCCGAGTGTGCAGCAGGTCGGATTGGCAGGCAGCTCACTCTGGCCTTTTGTCAACTGGGCACCTTCATCCAGCATCTGGGCTCCCATCCAGGCTACCTCAGCATCCTGAGCGACCACAGCCTGAGAGTCCATCCGCAGAGCTGGCCCGAAGGTGAGGCCAGCCTGCCCACGATCTATTCAGTGTCTGGGGTCCTGCCCTCACTATGACCTCCCCCAGATCTGAAGCTTTCTCATCAAGTGAGACCTGGGGACAAGTTCTCTGTCAGCGTACTACAGTGACACAGCCACATCAATGGTTACAGCAGCTCAGTTCACAATAGGTAAGCCAGGGACCAGCCTAGGTGCCCTTCAACAGATGAATGGATAAAGAAAATGTGGTACATACACACAGTGGAATATTACTCAGCCATAAAGAGAAATGAAATTATGGCATTTGCCAGTAAATGGATGAAACTGGAGACAAACATACTAAGTGAAATGATCCAGTTCCAAAAAACCAAAGGCCAAATGTTCTCTCTGATATGTGGATGGTAACCCACACAAGCAGGGGTGGGGGTAGGGGAATAGAAGTACTTTGGA